CATCTACAATTTCATTTTACAACTAGTCAAGATATCTGGTCAGGGTTCTGTTCAATGTGTTTAATTGGGATACCTAGCAGAAGTATTTAGTAGTAGTGTCTAGTTGCAGTCTTCAGTAGTAGTGTCTAGTTACAATATCTGCTTGAAGTATCAAGTATGGGTGTCTAGATGTCCCTGCGTCGGAGTAGACTAGTTGCTAGAGAGTTGGCTGGAATTATTTGTAATTAGCACGTTCAAATTATAGTATGGGCTCAAGGGCTTCACATGTGAATGCTCTCTAATAAAGCCTTGTATGGTTTATAATACTGAGCCCCAGGTTATACAGCTTGAAGAACAAACTACGAATCTTCGTTTCTACTGTTATTTCAGATCCAACATATGCCAGCCAACGCTAGAGCATCGCTATAGATTTGGAGCGAAAGTTAAATGCATTTGAAAAAAAAAAAAACAATATCTGAAAAAATCATGAACATAAAATTTGATAACTTTAAAAACGAAATTATAAGGCGATCAGATACATATATGCACAAATACCTGAATCGAATGCAATTAAACAAAGAATTTGCAGACACAGTGGACACACTCTGAGACGAAATGAACAAAGAATAACAAAACCAGTACTTAAACAAGAAACAAAGAGTCTGAGAAAAATAGGGCGTCCAAGGAAAACATTAACAAGAAAATTATTTGAAGACGCTAAAAACGTTGCGCTAATGATCATCATGTCAGAAATCGAGAAAGGTGCATGCAATAGAGCTAAGTGGAGTATTCGGATACGAGACCTATGTGACGTCTAACGGCACATGAATATGATGACGATGCTCAATGAGGTCTTTAACGTCTGGGTCTGTAAACCTATGCAATGTTTCCTCGTTGTGAATTGAACAAACAAGATACAAACAATTGATTGCACAATTTATTTCCTAGTAAATATAGCTGTATCTCTGCAAGTGCATGCTGTTGTAATAATTGATTTAAAAGAAGAAAATAAATGATGCCTTCTAGTCGAAACAACAAAATCGGCTACATTCAAAAGTAACGGCCTATTTCATCAGGCCAAATGCACGTTCGTGGTGATGTCCTTCTGTGTGCACAATTCCGGACTGGACCGGTGTATTTAGACATCCTTCTTAGCGTTTTTAGACATCCTAATTCTTGGCACTTTTAGACATCCTAATTCTTGGCGGTTTTTAGGCATCATTGTAGACATTTTTAGGTTCCCAGGTCAACCCAGGCTTGAATGAGTGCCAGGTACAGTCCTGGGAAATAAAGATTGCTGACCACATCACCCACCAAGTGCCATTCGGTCCATTAAAAATAGGTCCAGCCCGATATAACCATTAAATTAACTACAGTTGTGCTTAACTACCCTGACTCATTCTAGGACCCTTACACTCCATCCTAGTTCTCTTCTTACCCCTTAGAAAAGTAAAGTAAAGGACCTTTTACCACGGTTTCAGGCTTTTTGGGCATGTAGGTTTGGACCTATATTTTGTAGACCAGTCGGCACTCGGCTTGAATTGTGGTCAACATCCCGCCGGCCGCCTTTTTTCCCTCTCAGCAGATTACTGGTACCCATTTAAGGCTGGGTCGACATGGGAGCCAAAGTAATTCCGTCAGGACCAGAACCCACGACTTTCGGACCCGCAGGAGAGAGTATAGCCACTACACCACAGCGGCTCCCTTTCGAAACTTTCATGACGTTTAGTATTCTGAGAAACACTGTCAGTGTGCCAGTCCCATTATATGTTTATATATACAAGATTGTAAGTATTATTTCATGTGTGTATGAGTGTGTGTGTGGATTATATCCCTAAAATAGCCCTTCCATATGCACTGGCATGTTGATTTGCATATAAAATATTGTGCTATAAAAGTTATTTAAACGTAACACCATAAGCTACAAAGCATTTATATATATATATATATATCACATTGTGCTATAGTAAATGTTTACATGTAGCAAACCATAAAATGAACATTCGTTTGCAATGGATCCATGTCAGACTGGTTTTTACGGACGATTTAATACGATTCCTTGGACAGCCAAAAACCTAGATGTTTTGAAAGAGGTGAAAGCTCGAAGACAACTAATCACAAACATCAGAAAGAGACAGTCATCAATTTTTAGTCACGGTACGAGAAGAAGGAGACTGGTACATGTGACTACTGTAATGATCTGTGGAAAGAGAGACAGACGAAGACAACGTGAGACAATTCTGGACTGCCTTCCTTTTTTCATGCCCTAGAGGAGTGTCAACTCGCGAACTGATAAACACAGATGCAGATCGCAGAATCTAGAGAAGTGTGAACGCCAGTATCAGTCAGCAATGCACTTGCTGATGATGATGATGGGGATAATGATGATTAGATCATGTTCACATGTACCACAGTGTGTAATAAAGAATGTTTACATGTACCACAGTGTATCATAAAGAATGTTTACATGCATCACCGTGTGTAACAGAGAATGTTTACATGTACCACGGCGTGTAACAGAGAATGTTTACATGTACCACGTCGTGCAACAGAGAATGTTTTCATGGAACACAGTGTATAACAGAGAATGTTTACATGTATCACAGTGTGTAACAGAGAATGTTTACATAGAACACAGCGCGTAGTAGAGCATGTTTACATTTACCCCAGTGTGCAATAGAGAAAGTTTACATGGAGTACAGTGTGTAGCAGAGAAAGTTTACATTTACTACAGTGTGTAATAAAGAATGTTTACATGTACCACAGTGTGTAATAGAGAATTTTTACATATAGCACAGTGGTTAGTAAAAAATGTTTACATTTACCACATTGTGTAACAGAGAGAGTTTACATGTAGTACGTGGTGTAACAGAGAATGTTTACATGTAGTACATGGTGTAACAGAGAATGTTTACATGTAGTACATGGTGTAACAGAGAATGTTTACATGTAGAACATGGTGTAACAGAGAATGTTTACATGTAGTACATGGTGTAACAGAGAATGTTTACATGTAGTACATGGCGTAACAGAGAATGTTTACATGTAGTACATGGTGTAACAGAGAATGTTTTCATGTAGTACATGGCGTAACAGAGAATGTTTACATGTAGTACATGGTGTAACAGAGAATGTTTACATGTAGTACATGGTGTAACAGAGAATGTTTACATGTAGTACATGGCGTAACAGAGAATGTTTACATGTAGTACATGGAGTAACAGAGAATGTTTACATGTAGTACATGGTGTAACAGAGAATGTTTACATGTAGTACATGGTGTAACAGAGAATGTTTACATGTAGTACATGGCGTAACAGAGAATGTTTACATGTAGTACATGGCGTAACAGAGAATGTTTACATGTAGTACATGGCGTAACAGAGAATGTTTACATGTAGTACATGGTGTAACAGAGAATGTTTACATGTAGTACATGGTGTAACAGAGAATGTTTACATGTAGTACATGGCGTAACAGTGAATGTTTACATGTAGTACATGGAGTAACAGTGAATGTTTACATGTAGTACATGGCGTAACAGAGAATGTTTACATGTAGTACATGGTGTAACAGAGAATGTTTACATGTAGTACATGGAGTAACAGTGAATGTTTACATGTAGTACATGATGTAACAGAGAATGTTTTCAAGTAGTACATGGTGTAACAGAGAATGTTTACAAGTAGTACATGGTGTAACAGAGAATGTTTACATGTAGTACATGGTGTAACAGAGAATGTTTACATGTGGTACATGGTGTAACAGAGAATGTTTACATGTAGTACATGGCGTAACAGAGAATGTTTACATGTAGTACATGGTGTAACAGAGAATGTTTACATGTAGTACATGGTGTAACAGAGAATGTTTACATGTAGTACATGGTGTAACAGAGAATGTTTTCATGTAGTACATTGCGAAACAGAGAATGTTTTCATATATCCCACTGTGTTAGGTAAGTTTTTTTGTTTTTACCCAGCAAAAAGAGAACCCGGATTTCAGACAGGAAAAATTGTATTTAAACACCTTGCTGGGTTACAGAGTTGAGGGTCATGCTTAAGACAACTAAGCAGAAGCACTTTAGCCCATAAAACAAAACTATGAGCATTCAATGGAGCATAACACGATCACTAAACAAAATAAACAATAATATCAAGACATGTGGTGATAAAATACGTTTTCCTGACAAGAACAGCTTAAGAGTTGTCCCAGCATCATCACAATATGGATACCACCATCAACAGCCAGCAGGTTCTTTACTGATCGTCGCTCCCGACACGTCAAGCCTGCAAGTCTCTTTCTCTGTAGCTTATTCTCAAGCTTTATGTGCGATCAAAGTCACTGCATCTTCAGTGTTTGGTATCCAAGATCCAGGATATATGCCTCTGACTGGCTATCCACACCACCACGACGTTTACAATGGACACAATTCCCCAGCTGCTTATGGGCCAGTTCTCCTCGACGCTCAGATCGTGCATCATATGGGCTCCATCAAATGTTAAAAGAAGTATCTTTCAATATGAAATTAAACGAAGTAACGAAATGGTCAGACAATCTCACATTTCACACAGAATACGAGAAGAAGTACTGCAGGAGGAAGTGCCGAAGGCGTGAGGCTCCGTGATATCGAATTATTGATAGTCGGTGGTTGTCGTCGCTGATCGATCTGTTTGAAACTGTTAAAACGAGGAACACATGACAGCCATAGACTAAAGAACTGTCTCTAGGATCCCTATGAAATCACGCCGCTGACTAGATGGGTTGACTTTCGAAATGTATACCAGGACATTCCCATAAGCGTTCGCTTCCCCCGTCCCCAAGTGTTTAGAAGTATGCATGTTTTACCTTTCCTCATGATGTTAAGTGTCGACCAGATTCCCCGATCACTGACCCTTCAACATTCTCGCTAAACCCTAGTGATCTGTTAAATGAATGTATCAGAAACATAATTTAATAAAACAATAGTCAGCATGTGATCAGTCCAAGACCTTTAAGCGTACTTCCTTCACTGAGGGCATTCACAAAAGCCTGTAACTGGCTGAGAATCCTTTCCTATTGGAGATGTAGTCCGAGAGAAACTGGACCAGCAAGTAGTTAGAGCTGGATGTTATGATGTCAGGGATCTCAATTCCACAAAATTTACCCTCGACTGGGTCTGTGTCGTACTGACCGTCATAGACAAACACTACGTCATAGTAGCAATTGATTTCACTCTCCAGCTCGAACTCCGTGAATGTCAGCCGTATCAAGCGATATTTTGGAGCCACGATTAACCACTCACAGTCCTGTTTGACATCGTAGTCTTCCTCGCCATAACGCGGATGAGATACAAAGAATTGTTCTGTTTCTGACGCTTGCAAGGTTCCCCCACATTTCACTTCATGCTTGATTAAAAAGCCACTTCTTTGTACAGAAGCATCGGAGAAAAAAGAAACGTATATCTTGTTACTGCTTGACGTTATCGGCTCAGGAAGAGTGGTTCCACAGAACTTTCCTATTAGACGAGCAGTGCTGTTCTCACCATCATAAACTGCAAGATGGTCATAAGAGCATAACTGGTGGTATTCTATGTCCAACATGATAAACTCAAGGTGTATTCGATGCCCTGGAGCTGTAACTATTAGCCAGGAACAATCTTCTCTTCCGAGATAGCTATCAGGGTAGTTAGGACTGTAAAAGAAGCCATCAACGGATTCTATATCTGAATGGCATCGTTCCTCTTTGCAGCTATGCATGTCGCTGTCTAAGATGAAACCGCTATCACATTCACATTGGTAGCTACCAATAGTGTTCTTACAAATATGTTGACAGCCAGCATTGTCAACCGTACACTCATCTGTATCTGTTTCAAATTTTACAAAGAATCCCGAGTTCTGAATCGTTCCATCAGAATTAAATTCAATCGTCACAGTATTTCCACTGGACACATACAAATCTGGCAGTACGTACCCACAGAACACATCTGCTGTTTCATGGGATTCTTCGGTAATAGTTAGATTGTCAAACGTACAGCCAAGGCCCTGTCCTTCTAAATCAAAGTGTGTGAAATTCAGGTAAATTGTGTGGTCTGGGGGAGCTTTGATTATCCAAATACATTTGCTGTTATCTGGGTAGATATCAGGGAAAGAGGGAGAAGTGATATTTCCATAAGTATCTTCAACGTAGCCACCACATGCTGGTTCACACCGCTTACCATCTGAGTGAAGCTGGAAGGTAAAGTTGCATGTACAGTAGTAACTACCAATTGTGTTTACACAGTTGTGTTCACAGCCGTGCTCTTTAGTTGCACATTCATCGCGTTCTTTCACAAAGCGTAGTAGAAATCCTGACTTTTGCACGTACTTACTGCTCACAAACTTGGCGTACAAATGCCGACCTGTACTGTTAACAGGTTTTGGCATTTGCGAACCACATAAATTTCCTAGTAATGGAGCTTGCTCAGTTGGTCCATCACGGAGCTCCACATAGTCCCGACTGCATCTTGGGTGGCTTTCCAAATCGAACATCTCAAAAGTAACTCCAACAACAAAATGTTCTGGGACAGTTATATTCCAGACACAATCTTTCACAGAAGGATAATCGTCCGGGTAGTTGGGGCTAGTAAGATAGCCTTCATCTTTATTTATCTCACCTCCACAAATGCACTCATAATCCAGATAAAATGTCGCGCTGTCTGAATTAGTTTTTTTAAATTCAATCCACATTTGATTACCAGATGAAGTTAGTATTTCATGCGAATGGTTACCACAGAATCTCTTTAAAAGAGGTGACTTAAAGTAGTGGCCATCTCTGACGTCCAGATAACTCGTTTCGCAACTGTTAGACTCAGGCAGATGGAGATTACTTATTATCACTTCTACCCTCTCTCCGTGTGTACACGATATACGCCACTGACACACTTCTGGTGAGCCTGGTTTAGCTGTATGTACAAATCCGCCTGCAGGATCTAGCAGTGTCTTTCCGCACTGTGGGCAGCCATACATCTTAGCAACTTGTCTAACATCCCCTTCGCTTGGTTTGACCCGCTGTCCGATTTGTGGAGGCAGAATCATGCCGGGTTTTCTATGTGGATTCAGTGTGTACAAATTAGGCTTCCTTGCAAATATACTGCGCGAATAATGCATGATACTATCGTAATCATACTCTTCGCCCAAGGAGTTGATGCCCTCCTGTATATTGAAATTATATTTTTCGTTTTCTTCAATATTTTCGTAAATAATCTGGATGTGTTTGTCCCTGTCTGGCCTGTTGTGTTCATGATGGAAACCTATAGCGTGACCCAACTCATGAGCAACGATTCCTAATTTCTCACATCCCTTTCCTAACGAAACCCCTTGCCCACCTCCTCCTCTTCCCACAAACGAGCAGCAACCACACGTGCCTTCCTCTGTGAACCTAATATAGTCCTTGTCTCCGGGTTCCTTGACTTTGAAAACCAGACATGTATTTTGCTCCCAAAGTTCCATTGCCAACTTAAATAAAGCCTTGTGTTTGCTCGAAAATGTTTCATCAATGACGTAAGGTATCACGCCATACTCCCACAGTTTGTTTGTGTTGCCTATAGCACCTCGCTTATGAACTGAATGCTGTGTGGACGGGTTATGGCGCTTAAATTGTTCACTGTTTTTATAAACACCACTACGAAACGAGGGCTTTTCAACTAGTTCTTCTTTGGCTCGTCTATTATGGTTTCTAATTTTCCCCTTCAGTCTCATCAACTTTATTCTAGTATCTAATAGGTCTTTCCTTTGCTTCATTTTATTTAAGCGACACTGCATTATGTCGATTCCTTTACATGGCTGATTCAAAGATAATAATTGATTTTTAAAATCTTTATCCAGATAAAAGCTAGCGTTGTTGAAATCGTCGAAATCTTTAAAATTGTTCAAGGTGTCTCTCTTTGCAATACCATCACTGTTTACTGGCAGTTCGAAGAAAGAATCATTTGCAGTTTGTTTTAAGATCATTTTCTTCGTTGTTCTAAATTGATTGTGTGTCAATGCTATGTCGCCGGAATATGCTTCTGCTTTGCATGGGTCGAGATAGTTAGCATCAACTTGTCTTCTTGGAATATTCTGTTCAGCAGAAACTGTGAAAACGGCAGACTCCAAAACTAGCAAAGACAACACCAAAAAAATGGCAAACTCCATCTTGCTGCGAGGAACAAGCCTCCCACAAAAAAAAAAAAAAAAAGAGGTCCTTTAAACTTTTTGGTATCGCATACAATAAAACATCTCAACTGTTAATGGAAATCTGATAGTTATTCGAGTTATTACATTGCACTCCTCAGTGATAATTTTAACAGTCCTCATACGTCAATAGGAAAAAAAAAAACTACTAAATTGATCTTTCAAACAAACTAAATTCTACAAGGCACCTACTATTACTGCAATATACCAGTGATGAACAGCCATAATATACCTATTTTACACAAGTTCTGAGTGACAGACGATGCATTTCTATATCACATCACAGATTACTATGTCACACGAATGAGAGGCAAACGCCTAATAAGCAACTAAAACGCAGAAAGAATCAGACCCAGGACTTCCCATCCACAAGCCTGAGATAGAGTTGACTCACACAATGACATCTGACGGAAATTATCAGCCGGTCGACAATTTTATATCGTCGAAGCTAATCATTGCAGCGTTTAGGAAACATTATTTACATACAAAAGCAGCGAACACGCCTCTGCGAAACACGTGTAGCTCACTTCGAATCATTGAGTTTGCAGCGAGCGAGCACGCCAAAATGCTTAAAATAATTGGCTGACGCCAGACTGGTTTTTTTTACACAAAAGGAAAAAGGAAAACCGGCAGTTTGTGAGTAAACAAGTAACTGATTTTGGTAGATGTATATATGGAACTCGAGACAAAGGGAATATTTTTAACAAAGCCATCACTGTCACTGTGAGGCAGAAAACAGTTAAAATATGATGCACAGTGCCAAACTACTGTCTGTATGTCTTTGATATATTTACTGTCTTTAAAATTGTTGTAGATCGTTTAGCCTGAGGACTTAGGGCTGAATGGCTTGTATAGCCTTACTCACTCACTCATACACTGACTCACTCACTCACTCACCCACTCCCTCAATTACTCACTTACTCACCCACTTACTCACTCATTCAATTTCTCACCCACCCACTCACTCACTTACCCACCCACTCACTCACTTTCTCTCAATCACTCCCTCACTCACCCAACGACTCACTCACTCCCTCACTCACCCACCCACCCACTCTTTCACTAACTTGCTCAATAATTTACTCACTCCCTCACTTCCTCACTTGCTCACCCACTCAGCTACTTACTTACTCATCTAATCACTTACTCACCTACTAACTTAATCACCAACTCCCTTACTCACTCAGTCACTAACTCACTCATTCACGCACTCACTCATCACTCATTCACTCCCTCACTCACTTACTCCCTTACGCACTCCCTCACTCACTCTCTCACCCACTCACTCACCTACTCCCTCGCTAACTCACTTGCTTTCCCACTTACTCACTTGCTCACCCACTCACCAACTTACTCATCTTCTGGTCAAAATGGACGCTAGGCAGGGGCACTGTTCGAAGCCGAGGCAAATTGTTTTTCTTCTGCTGGTCTGTGGTCGATGCAGTTTTCGCTCCATTTGTAGACTGGATATAGTTTCGTCGCCCAGCTTCTGAGTTGGATGCATAGCGTGACACTGCGAGCTGTGGATTTCATTTGAAATGCTTTTTCGACTGTGACCAACGGGGTGGTGTGAATTGTAGATTCAGAAAATGGCGGGATGCCTGTCGTGCAATGTTGGTGGTGCCCGTATGTGATTAAAATTGATTGCATGGGCAACTGCTGATCTGTTGGTGACTTCTGCTACCATCATTGATAAATGCATTTCTAATGTCGGACTGTTTGTGTTAGTACTTCGGATTGCTACTGTATGCTTTAATGCGAGTGTTTGCTGAGACAGCAGTCTGTCAATCTTTCCACAAGGGACTGTGATAAAAATGCTGTGTGTTTTTTGTTGGATCAGAAGCGGAGCAAAGATGTGGTGACCCGTTTGCTCTGAAGCTGAAACTAAGACTACCAGACTACCAGACTTACTCACCTTTTTACTCATTCACTAGCCCAATCATTTACTCACCCACTGAATCACTTACCCACTTCATCATTAACTCACTCATTCACTCACTCACTTACTCGTCATTGCTTCACTCACTTACTTACTCACCCACTCAGTTACCCACTCATTCACTTATTCGTTCATTCTCTCACTTACTCATCACTTATTCACTCACAAACTTACTATCTGTCTCTAACTCACTATCTTTCTCCCTCTTTGTCTTTCATTCTCCATCCTCACTAACTTACTCTCACTCTTTATCTATCTCAGAATCTCACTTTTACTCTCTCTTTCCCTCTCAGTAGTTTTTTCTCCTTCTCTGTAACCCTCGCGTTCACTTTATCTCACCATCGATCTCCGTCAGATCATAAACCCAGAGACTTTAGATCAACAGGCGAGCGCCTAGCCACTACACCACAGCTACGTTTGGATTTGAACCCACGACCTGTAGATACGCAGACGAGCGTCTTGCTGTTACACCGAGGCGGCTCCTCTTTGAGTCACTATGACGTTTTTTATTCTAAGAAAGACTATCAATGTTTCAATCCCTCTATACGTTTATTAATAAAGAATGTAAGTATGTTTCCCGTCTGTTCTTGTGCTAAATAAATTGTATAGACGTGTCACACTGCGCTAACGACAATGTTTACATGTATCGCACTGTCAAATAGAACACTATTTACATGTAGATGCGTACTAGAGGACATTTACATGTGTTACAATCTGTAATATAATCTTTACGTGTATCATAATGTGTAAGAGAAAACGTTTACAGGTTATCACATTATGTAATATAATATGTTTATTTGTACCATTCTTTGTAAGAGAAAATGTTTACATGTTCCACACTATGTAATAGAGAATGTTTACATGTAGCATAATTGTAACAGAGAATGTTTACATGTGTTACATTGTGTAAAAGAAAATGTTTACACGTAGCACGATGTAAATTAGATAATATTTACATGTGTCACAAAAAAGCCCATCTGTATCAGTTTTTCCACAAAGGACATTGATTGACATATTACATTGGCACAGAAGATTGAAACAGAAAATGTTTACATGGATTGCAGGGTGTGATAGAGAATGTTTACATACATCACGATGGTAATAAAGAATGTTTACATGTATCGCAGTGTGTAATAGAGTATGTTTACATATATCACAATGGGTAATAAAGAATGTTTTCATGTATCACAATGTTTAAAAAAAGAATGTTTACATGTAGCGCAATGTGTAATAGATAATGTTTACACGTATCATACTGTGTAACAGAAAATATTTACATGTAGCACGTTGTAAAATGGAGAATATTTACGTGTATCACAATGTGTAACATAAAACGTTTACTCGTAGTACAATAATAATACAAATTTTTTTGCATGTATCACAATGTGTAATAGAAAATGTCTACATGTAGTACATGGTGTGACTGAAATGGAAATTAAAATGTTTACGTGTATATCATATTTTGTAATATAAAATGTTTACATGTACCTCTTTAGGTTACCAATATAGGACTTTGACGTTGACAAAAGAACACGAGAGAAAAATAACCACCTGTGAGATGGGATGTTTGAGAATGTGTGTAAATAAAACCAGAAGACATCGAGTCAAAAACGACTTGAAACACAAGAACTGTCGGGACAACACCCAAATTTATTGAGAAACAAAGAATAAAATGGTTTGGCTATCTAAAGTATTTACAGGTATCACAACATGTGTTTTTTCCCACTAAGAAAACAAATGTTCGACAGACTGAAAGTATGGAAAGTCATCGATTAATCTTGCAATCTTAGGTTCAGTTTCCTAGCAAACAGGTTACCCCATAATTTCTCCGCTTCTGTGCCAATGTAATATGTCAATCAATGTCCTTTGTGGAAAAACTGATACAGATGGGCTTTTTTTTTTTGTGTGTGTGTGTGTGTGTGTGTGTATGTGTGTGTGTATGTGTGTGTGTGTGCGTGTGCGCGCGCGCGTGCGTGCGTGCGTGCGTGCGTGTGTGTGTGTGTGTGCGTGTGTGCGCGTGCGTGCGTGCGTGTGTGTGTGTGTGTGTTTGTGTGTGTGTGTGTGTGTGTGCGTGTGTGTGTGTGTGTGTGTGGATATTCTGTCTGTGAATATAGTAAATCAGAGATGAGAGAACACACATTCCTGACCCACCCCTGTATTAATTGTAAACATATCAGATATGTCTTTATGTGTTCTCACTGCGCTTTGGGAAGAGTAGTACATGGTAATGATTTATCTAGCAATTGTCGTTGTATCCATAATCTTAAAGAATAGACCATAGTTTGTTTCTGTCCGCTCCGTCAGAAGTTTTTTTTTTTTTCTTTTTGATCCACAAACACAATTTGCAGTTCATCGTCATACTCAATGGTTTTCTCGCATCTGTGCAAGATTTTCCTTTCCTGGAACCAAATTGTGACTACGTTAACACAACAAAACCCTTGACCCATTAGGGTCGTGGAGGTATATTGATGGAAGCACTAGCAAATAAAACCCACCATCGTTCTTTGTCTTTTGTTTGATGAATAAGTGTATGATTATTTAGTCCTGTCCACGTTTTGATATTGTCATTCTAGGTTCTTCCTTCGTTGTCGTGGAGTGAATAACCCTATACTGTGCACTAGTAGTGACGCTGACATCCCTAGCGGGTACGTCATAATTCAAATTTAAACCCGTCCGGGGGGGAGGGGGGGGGGTGGGTATATAGTCCCTCATATTAATATATACCTCTATCTGGTGAAATAAACATTTCTAGACCCTCTAGTTGTTTTCAAATTTTCAAATTTGCAACTGTGGGATATATATTTCTTGAATATATTCAGAAATTCCTGTAAGCCTTTTTACTCCTTGGGCACGAATACAGGACTTCTTTTCTAGAGACGCCATGCGGAGTCTGGGGCAGGATTTCTTTTGCCAGACCTCTGAGGTGTCGGGAGACATTTTAATTCTCTCATTAAACTTTGGCGCTTTCAAAATACCAGTTTAATATTTGAACGATTCCTAAGCTTGGGATGAAACCTCCTTA